AGGAGCGTGGCTGGCTCAGGAGAGGGTGCTGTGTGACTTGTTGTCCCTGCCTGAGAGGAGGGGCACAGGTTGGGGGTCGGAGGCCTCTCTATACCTCCCAGAACTGCTTCCCGTGTAAGGTGTTAGGGGAGGGAGCTGCTGACCCAGCACTTCCTGACCCTCCTCTGGGGCCTGGACTGCAGGGTGAGAAGAGCTGCTTGGGGACAGACATGGACCAGTCCCATCCTGTTCACGTTTCTTATTGCTGTCTTTCTATTACTTTAATTTGGGGGGAAGCTGCAGGAATTGGTTTTGAAGTTATAATTAAAATTTCCACTTGCCTTAGGCAGACAATTGTGGGTTGAATGAAAAGGTGTTAATAAAGAGAGAAGTTAATTTTAAAATAAAACGTTGTTGAGCGAGTGTGTGGGCATACACCTGCGGACGCAGCTAGGAGGCAGATGGCGCTCCAGACTTGGCGCAGCCGAGTCTGGCTTCAGATCTTAGCAGAGTCCTTTGTGAGCTGGGCAGCATCCCCTGGCCTCCTTTGAACCTCGTCTCTCTCAGGCATTAGATGAGACAGGAATGGGCATCTGTGCCCTGTACACCTCATGGCACTCTCTCAGGGCTGCTGTGAGAGATGGACAGAGCGCTCCGTGAAAGATGATGGGCAGGTAGATGTATGCTGTGCTCACAGCTGGGCGGTGGTGGCGCATGCCTTTAATCCCAGCACTCGGGAGGCAGAGGCAGGTGGATCTCTGTGAGTTCAAGGCCAGCCTGGGCTACAGAGTGAGTTCCAGGACAGGCTCCAAAGCTACACAGAGAAACCCTGTCTCAAAAAACAAAACAAAAAAAAAAAAGGTCTGCCTTTCTTCTGTCCTGCGACGGAGATAGTCCACTTGAGACCATTTTTCCCACCCTGTCAGGAGTGCTGCCGTGGGGTGCTGGGTGAGCACTGGTGTCCTGTGGGCTCTGTTTCAGTGAGACAGGGCACCCTGACTCCCAGGTAAGGCCTGCCAACTAGAAAGGGTGAACGGAGGTGAGGTCCTGGGAAGGTCAGCTGCAGCTCACGCCTGTAGCTAGACAATCGTATGGTAGCACTCCTGGCAGCTTGTCACGTGCTCGCCTCGCCTGCCTGTCAGGTGAAGTTTGCAGGTCGTCATAGTGGGGAATGGCATAGAGTACTCACACTGCTCCCTTGAGGGATGGGCCACCTCCTCACTTACCCCCTTGGGTGTCCTTGTGCTAAGCAGCGTCTCCCGTGGGGTGGCAGGGTGCACGTGGAATGTTGCATCAGGAGGGGGTATCATCACTAGCATCTAGTCCCCAGAGAGTGACTCACCACCTTGTCACACCCAAATCTGAAACCAAGTATGTGGCAGCCAGAAGCAGCCAGGGCCCTCTGCCCATCCTACCAAACAGAGAACTCTGGTGGTTACTCCTTGAACTCCCATTTCCCCATCAGTAAAATGGGAGTAAAGACAGCCGTCCTGGAGAGTTGTCCCCAAACAAAAGCAGGACAAGGCGAGCTCTCACCGGTCTTTGGCATACTGTGGCTGCTGTGTTGCATTGGTCTCCGCATTTGGGGGTGAGCTTTGTGCGTGCTGAGAGGGTGGTTTGAGTTAGGAGCCATGTGTGATGGAATAGTAATGCGTCTGTGGGGAAGCCCCTGTGAACACTGGGATGACTTTAATTGTTTATCCCTTGACCTCTGCCTATGGGACTGCCTGGTGCTGACTTCATTGGTCCATTGTGTCAGCTGAGTTTTGGCACAGGTAGGAACCAACTTTGTTAATCACCCTCTCTTCATAGCCCCCAGGTCTCCTCAGGGCATAGACTCAGCCTGTCTCCAGGTGGCTTCTTCTAGTGTCTTGGAACCTTTTCTTGTGGACATTCTTCAAGGCTTTCACGACTATGCTGCTGGCCCCCTGGCAGCCCCGGGATATGAGGGAAACATTTTTAGTGGAGTTCTCAGGCAGTCCTAGACATGGGTCATACATACCCTTGGACATGTAGAAGCAGAGCCATTGGGAATGCGCACCTCCTCAAAAGCCAGGAAGTTGTTTCCTGAGCCTACTCCTCAAGTTAAGGTAAATAAGCTAAGCCTGAACTCTTGTATAAGATGTTGTCGGCAAGGGGCACAGACAAATCTTGTACACCAACAGCATATAAGGTGTAGTCTGGGCATTGGACTGACTGTCTCAGGCCCAGAAGTGAGAGGTCCTGGCTGGTGCTGTGTAACAGACTTCTGTCTACTTACTCTAGATAGGGTGCCCACGACAGGCCAAAGTATGGACACAGATACCAACAAAGGCCGTCTCCTGAACTGATGGGTTTTATTGGGGTTTCTTACAGAAATATCACCAAAAGTCAACCCCCCAAATCTGGGACCCTGGAACACACTGCACAGCCCACAGGCAGCCCAGGAGGTTGGAGAGCGTCCTTTCCAGGCACCTTGGTTGGCCTCTCCTCTTCCAGGCAGGTCCATGGTCTCTCTTACAGGCTGCTTAACTGGTCTGTACGTGTTTGAGTTTGGCTTGTCTGAGAGTGACTCTCAGCCGGTTGTCTTGGGAGGGAGGGGCCTAGAGAATCTGCTCGGTTTCAGGGAGTTCCTGAAACTGTTTTGAGTTGTTTACTTTCTGGCCTAAAGAGGTTACCTGGGAGATGGAGTGTTCCAGTTTTGAGGAAACTGCTCTACAACCGCTGGCAACATGACTTCTGTCAAAAAAATAATAATAATTCTTATTTTCTTTCTTGTGAGACAGGATATCACTGCAGAGTCCTGTCTGGTCTAGAACTCACTGTGTAAATTGTGCTAACTTCAAACTTGCAGCAGTCCTGCTGAGTGCTGGGAGTGCCTACTGTGTGCCACAGGCAGGCAGGAAATATTCAGTGGACACAAAGGTCCTGTAAGGGGCCGTTGCCATTCTTTGGCTTATTTTTTGAGTAAGTGTTAAACCTCTGAGGGGGGAAGGTTTCCTCACTGTAAGTGTTAAACCTCTGAGGGGGGAAGGTTTCCCCTATGGAAGTGTTACAGCTCTGAGGGGGGAAGGTTTCCCCTATGGAAGTGTTACAGCTCTGAGCGGGGAAGGTTTCCTCACTGTAAGTGTTAAACCTCTGAGGGGGGAAGGTTTCCCCTATGGAAGTGTTACAGCTCTGAGGGGGGAAGGTTTCCCCTATGTAAGTGTTACAGCTCTGAGGGGGAAGGTTTCCCCTATGGAAGTGTTACAGCTCTGAGGGGGAAGGTTTCCTCACTGTAAGTGTTACAGCTCTGAGGGGGGAAGGTTTCCCCTATGGAAGTGTTACAGCTCTGAGGGGGGAAGGTTTCCCCTATGGAAGTGTTACAGCTCTGAGGGGGGAAGGTTTCCCCTATGGAAGTGTTAAACCTCTGAGGGGGGAAGGTTTCCTCACTGTAAGTGTTAAACCTCTGAGGGGGGAAGGTTTCCCCTATGGAAGTGTTACAGCTCTGAGGGGGGAAGGTTTCCCCTATGGAAGTGTTACAGCTCTGAGCGGGGAAGGTTTCCTCACTGTAAGTGTTAAACCTCTGAGGGGGGAAGGTTTCCCCTATGTAAGTGTTACAGCTCTGAGGGGGAAGGTTTCCCCTATGGAAGTGTTACAGCTCTGAGGGGGAAGGTTTCCTCACTGTAAGTGTTACAGCTCTGAGGGGGGAAGGTTTCCCCTATGGAAGTGTTACAGCTCTGAGGGGGGAAGGTTTCCCCTATGGAAGTGTTACAGCTCTGAGGGGGGAAGGTTTCCCCTATGGAAGTGTTACAGCTCTGAGGGGGGAAGGTTTCCCCTATGGAAGTGTTACAGCTCTGAGGGGGGAAGGTTTCCCCTATGGAAGTGTTACAGCTCTGAGGGGGGAAGGTTTCCCCTATGGAAGTGTTAAACCTCTGAGGGGGGAAGGTTTCCCCTATGGAAGTGTTACAGCTCTGAGGGGGGAAGGTTTCCCCTATGGAAGTGTTGCAGCTCTGAGGGGGGAAGGTTTCCTCACTGTAAGTGTTACAGCTCTGAGGGGGGAAGGTTTCCCCTATGGAAGTGTTGCAGCTCTGAGGGGGGAAGGTTTCCCCTATGGAAGTGTTGCAGCTCTGAGGGGGAAGGTTTCCCCTATGGAAGTGTTGCAGCTCTGAAGGGAAAAGTATCCTGGCAGTCAGGAGCCAAGAAATACCACAAAGTCACACAGCCCAACAAACCTCACGCAAGAGATTTATTGGGAAAGACAGTGGCTGCCTCTGCTCAGGGGAGAAGCAGCAGAGAACTGAGAGGCAGGCTTATGCAGGGTTTCTTGGGGCCGGAGTTTTCCAGCGTGGGGATTGGTGGGATTTCAAGTCCTGAGTTTGTGGGGAGCTCAGGGATGGGTGCGATTTCAAACCCAAAAGTGAGCTCAGACCTTTTACTCTACACTCACTGTGTAGCTTTGGCTGGCCTGCAACTCCCTCTGTAGAGCAGGCTGACCTCAAACTCACAGAGATCAGATCTTTCTTCTTCCTCCCGAGTGCTGGGATTGAAGGCATGCACTATCAGGCCTGGCCCATGGCCACTCTTGATTTTCAGAAGAGGGCGCTGAGGTTCTAGGGCTGTGCATGGTCTTGGAGAGTGCACCCTGGCTGCAGATTTCCCTGCACCATCTTGCCTCAGGTTCCTCCTGTGAGGTCAGGGTTGTCCCTGTCAGCTGACTAGGGTGGGTCCACCCTCAGTGCAGATCACCAAGAAGCCTTCACAAAGGTGGCTTCCTGTGCAGACTGTGATGAGGGCCCCAACATAGTCATTGGTCCTCAAAAGGTAGTTGTCCTGGGTGTGGCCCTTCTCAGGATGGCTTCACCTAGGAGACAGGCTCCTTACTGGGCCCTCATGAGTCAGCTATCATGAGAGGCCCTCACAGCTAACCAGACATCCTCATATCTGGAGTCTCTAATTCTTGGCCATCCTGAACCCCAATCCCTGCAGATGTCCTTATGGACTGATGGGTACTGAGTTCCAAGGAGCCAACCTCACTCATTCTGTCCTTCTGTCTTTGCCAGGGCAGCGACATCTCTAGCTCTACCTTTGCTGATGGCCAGCTCCTCCCCAGGGAACCCGGCTTCTTCCAGGAAGACGAGGAGGAAGCAATGACACTGGCCTTGCCTGAGGGACCCCAGGAGTTAGAAATGGACAGCCCCATGGAGAGCAGCCAGGGCCTGGAGGGCTCTGTCCGGAGTCCTGATGAGGAGAAGGAGCCTGAACTGGGGGGCCTGTTCCTGCAAGAGGACAAGTGAGTGAGCAGAATCGGCATGTGACCCCAGGGCCAGGATCGGCACCCAAGATGTTACTTCCCCAGGTTTCTGGATAGTAGGGATGATTCTGGAATTTCAGGCCACTGTGTGAAAGTCAGCTTTCTTTGGCGGGGCCGGGGAGATTGTTACAGCGTCTCAGCATGTATCCCTGACTAACCTAGAACTTGCTGTGTAGACCAGCCTGGCCTTGAACTCACAGAGATCTGCCTGCCTCTGTCTCCTGGAATTAAAGGCGTGCGCCACCATTTGTGGCTCTCAGAACTCTACTTCTAATGGTTGCTCAGTGACGTGGGTATATGAACGCATTTAGTTCTAAAAAGAAGGTACGTGCCGGGCGGTGGTGGCGCACACCTTTAATCCCAGCACCCGGGAGGCAGAGGCTGGTGGATCTCTGTGAGTTCGAGGCCAGCCTGGGCTACAGAGTGAGTTCCAGGAAAGGCACAAAGCTACACAAAGAAACCCTGTCTCAAAAAACCAAAAAATAAATAAATAAATAAAAGAAGGTACAGGGCAAGGATGTAGCTTAGTGGTAGAGTACTTACATGATTCCAGCACTGTGTTTAAAAAAAAAAAAAGCTCATTACAAAAGATGTCTTAGGAAATGCCTTAGGAAATTTTTTTTTGTTTTGTTTTTTTTGTTCTTTATTCCTTTGGGTGGCCCACTACCCAGCTCCCAAATAAATCACACATAGAGGCTTATTATAAATGCCTGTCCTTAGCTTGACTTGTTTCTTGCCAGCTTTCCTTTACTTAAATTATCTCATTCTCATCTACTTTTTGCCTCTGGGCTTTTTCCTTTTCTTACTTCTGTATATCTTACTTTCACTCTTACTCCATGGCGGGTGGCTGGGTGGCTGGCCCCTAGTGTCCAATTCCTTCCTCTCTTGTTCCTTCTTTTTTCCTCCCAGATTTCTCCTTCTATTTATTCTCTCTGCCTGCCAGCCCTGCCTATTCCTTTCTCCTGCCTTGCTATCGGCCATTCAGTTCTTTATTAGACCATCGGGTGTTTTAGACAGGCAAAGTATCACAGCTTCACAGAGTTAAACAAATGCAATATAAAGAAGGCAACACATCTTTGCATCATCATTAAACAAATATTCCACAGCACAAACAAAAGTAACACACCTTAAAATAATAATCTACAACAGCCTGGGAAAATGATCTTAAAATTGAGCAGTGATGATTTCTAGGAGGTGGGTGGTTTATCATTTAAGTTACTTTCCACAGACCATATTTCAGTGCTGATGAAGTGTTTTAAAACAGTAGTAAGGTCTGAGTGGACTGGGCTGTGTCTGTAACTCATTGGTGGAGCGATTGTGCTGCATAGCCCAAGCCTTAGGTTCAAGTCCCAAAACTGGGAGAAGGAAACGGCGAACTTTTTCCTGGCTTCTTGGTAGAGCAGCAGTGCCGATGATCAGTTTGGTGTCAGTAAAAAGCGATTTCTTTGGGAGGGGAAAAGTGGGGAGGGGGAGCAAGCCAGGAGCTCTAGTAGTTGCTTCGCCATACGAAACTGCCAACAGTTTTGATTCGGTTTCGTTTGGTTTTTCAAGACAGTATTTTCCTGTGTAGCCCTGGCTGTCCTGGAACTCACTCTGTAGACCAGGCTGGTCTCAACGCAACGCCTGCCTCTGCCTCTAGAGTGCTGGAGTTAGAGATGTGCACCACCACTGCTGGGCAAATTACCAACTTCCAATCATCTCAAACCTCATGAAAAAGTTAACTTCCGCTTTATTCTTCTAAGTCAGAATCTCTGCACAGCTTCAGTTCCGTCCTCCTACTTAGCTCCTCTCTGTCCCTTCCTCTCCTGTGCTCATCATCGGTCTAAGTTCCTTCTTCTTCCTTCGGTCCTCTCAAGACTCTGAGGTTTTCAGTTATAGACCCATACAAAGTAGCAATTCTCTGCCAAGGCAAAGTCACCCAGGTTTGAATTCTTACAGGGTCATAAAGGCAGATAAGAGTTTACCTCAGGCTGTGACTGTCAGGATTTCCTTTACAACCAAAAAGGGGTGTGGTTAAAGGAGGTCGGGTCAACTAAGAGCTAAAATCGGTTAATATATCAGGAAAAGGGAATTTATGTGCTCAAACTACATTCCTAGAAGTGGTTAGATAAAATGTTAAGAGTCTACAATGTTAGTATAAATCATGAGTAAAATAAAACTACCTATTTTTCTTCAGGAGCCGTAACTTGATGCACCTCGAGTGTAAAAGGTCCTTTTGTTCTAAGTTAAATGTCAGCAGGGAAATCTAGAGATCCCACTAAGGCTGTGTAAGAAAGGAAGGTCTGAGCTTAATTTGCACAAGAAAAAAAGTTATGTACCTAACATCCCCCTGGCCTAGGTGGTATGTTAAATATCGTATGGATATTTACCTGGATTTAGGAGACTAGCAGGTGGTCTGGAATGCTTGTTCTGTCTGCCATTCATCCTTGGATATGTGAGAGGTAGCTCAGATAAAATGCTTTTGTCTGGAGCTGGCCCTGGCCTTGGATGCTAACTAAAGGAGATACCTGATTCCAGTGCTAAAACAGAGAAATAAAAAGCCTGGAAGAAGGAAGCCTTGCCTGTGTGACTGTTATCCAAATACCTTAGTTGTATGGGGAAAAACTATGCCCAAAGAATGACCAATCCACACCATTAGTTCTTAGGAAAAAGAATCAACTGTGGAAGCTATAATGTGCACATGAAATTCACAGCTGACATGTTCAAGAGCCAATAGCACCAATACTTCCTTGAGTCTTGGCTTCCTCTGGAAAAGCCCTTGGCCCTTCCAGGTAAATGCTCTGTCATAATCAGCTGAATTCCTACTTCATATTTCTGCGGCTCATAGCAGTGATCTGTGGATGAGGAGGGAATTTGCTGTGACTGTGGGAAGATAGATTCAGAAAGGCTGTGAGCTGAGCCCCTCTTTCCTCTCAGGTTGTAGATGGTCCCAACCAGGCCTCCATATATCATATGGGTTACCCATGAGAGGGCAGAGAACAGTGATTCTCAACCTGTGGGTCAAGACCCCAGGGTTGTCAAATGACCCTTTCAGGGGGATCACATTGGATATTTACATTGCAATTCATAACAGTAGCAAAATTACAGTTATGAAGTAGTAATGAGAATAATTCTGTGGTTGGGATCACAATGTGAGGAACTGTTTTAAAGGGTCCCAGCATTAGGAAGGTTGAGAACCACTGGTCTAGAGTCTGGGGTCTTCGACAGATTTAGAATTCAGTGTCTTTGGACTAGAAATACCCCTTATAAATTGGGGGCTGGTTCTCACCTGGTAGCTCATTGTTACTTGTCATGAGGTAAGATAATGGAGGCCAGAGAGCTGGCTCAGAGGGTAAAGGTGCTGCCAGATGACCGGAGTATAGAACTCACGTACAAAGCTGGATGCGGTGGTGAGCATCTGTAACCACAGCATTCCTACAGAGAGACAGGAGCATCGAGCAGGCGAATCGGCCTGGAGGATGCAGCAGAATCAACAAAACAGACTGCTGTCCCCTGACTCCACACGTGGACTGTTGCATGGGTATGCCTGTGTGCACACATGCACTCACATACTAATAACAGTAATAATAATTTTTAAGAGATAATTAAAAGTTGGAAAAAGTGAGAATGGGAGAAAATAACCAAGACCCTTAACCCAAGCCCTGTTACCATGTTACTGTTTGTATTTACTCTTCCCTTTTTCAAAGGCAGTGTCTTGCTGTGTAACCCTGGCTGACCTGGAATGCTCTATGTAGGCCAGTCTGGTCTTAAATTTATAAAGATCTACTTGCCTGTCTCCTGAGTGCTAGAATTAAAGGCTTGCACCATCACTGCCAACATAGTAAGACCTTGTCTCAAAATAAAAAAGTTTAAGCTGGGCAGTGGTGGCGCACGCCTTTAATCCCAGCAGCACTCAGGAGGCAGAGGCAGGTGAATCTCTGTGAGTTCGAGGCCAGCCTGGGCTACAGAGTGAGTTCCAGGAAAGGCTCCAAAGCTACACAGAGAAACCCTGTCTTGAAAAAACCCAAATAAATAAATAAATAAATAAGTTTATTAATTGCTAAGTCTCAAAGTCTGTATCTAACTTATCATTGATACTTACTTCTCTGCCTTCTTGCCGGTATTTGTATACGCTTTTCAACCGGCATCGATACTCTATAATTTAATAATTTGAATCACTGGTACATATTCTAATATAGGAACTATAATTATAGTGTAATATTAATCCATCTGTTGCTTAACCATCGTCGTAGCCAAGGTTTTGTTGTTTTCTGTGGTGGAAATTTCTATGCAGGATGTTCCCCTTAGGATGAGGTCCCCCAAATCAAAAGGTCTGGACTTGGCCAGGCTCCTGCTGTACATAGGGCCAGGCTGGTTTCCCCGGGAGCTGTAGGTCAGGCCCTCTGCCCTTCACTAACTGGGTGCTTACCCTCAGGTCCTTGGTCCTCACTCCATCTATGACCACATCAGACCTTTCCACTCACTCCACCGCCTCTCTCATCAGCAACGAGGAGCAATTTGAAGACTATGGAGAGGGGGATGACGTGGACTGTGCCCCCAGCAGCCCCTGCCCTGATGATGAGACCAGAACCAATGTCTACTCAGATCTAGGATCGTCAGTGTCTTCCAGGTGGCCCCCTTGCTCCGAGGTGGTATTTGGAGTTCAGGGAAAATGGCAGGAACCAGTCTAGCCTCATTCCAGTGGGTCAGACAGGCAACGTCCATCCTTCCCTCTGTCCGGGGCTACATGGCTCTGCTAGCATGTGGGGTGCCTCCTCCTCCTCCTGTCCTGATTGGGGGTCAGGTTTGTCCTTTCCCCTTTTATCTTGGGGAGGAAACAGTTAACTTGTCTGTGAGTCTGCAGACCCGTGGTGGATGTCTGTCGTCATGCTTCCTGGAACCTGCTTACTAAAGTGGCCCCTTCTCACCTGCCTGAGTCATTCCTTCCTGTGACATTAGCTCTCAGTATGCCTCATCTGTTACTTGGGATCATTTCCCCAGCTTTCTTTGACAACCATGGGAAAGGGATGCTCTGGTTTATTTCCATTCCTCTGTCCCAAAGTAGAAATAAAAGCCTTGGGGAACTAGGTAGAGCAGGCTCGGTAGGGTGGGCAGGGCAAGCCTGCCAGCAGCGTAGAGTGACATCCTCTCCTCCTCTGGCCCAGTGCGGGGCAGACCCCGAGGAAGATGCGGCATGTCTACAACAGTGAGCTGCTGGATGTGTACTGCTCTCAATGCTGCAAGAAGATCAACCTGCTGAACGACCTGGAGGCCCGGCTGAAAAACCTGAAGGCCAACAGGTGAGGCCGCAGCCCAGAGAGGCTGTGTGGGCAGGTGTGCGGGTGTCCGAGTGTCCGAGGACTGGGTGTTTCCTCCTGCAGCATCTTGGCACCAAGCTGATGAGTGATGTCCCTTCAGACCCAGTGCCCCTCTGTTCAGTGACTCTGTTTTCCCTCTCTCTAGCCCCAACCGAAAGATCTCAAGCACAGCTTTCGGACGGTAAGACCTTCTTGGGAGACATCAAAGTTGAATGCTTTCCACCTTCACTTGCTTCTGCTGTCCTGGGGCAAGGGCTCCATGGCGACAGCCCAGATCAGCCTGTCCCTGTATGTAGCCAAGCCAGCAGACTGCTGTGAGGCCATCCCCAGCCGGGTGTCAGAGAACTCCTTTCCTGCCCTTGCCACCTCGTCCCTACTTTGCAGGGCCAGCATCTGTAGATACTCACTGCTTCAGCTTTAGTGGGCTTTCTAGGGTGCCCTGAGGCCCACAGTCCAGCCCATGGCTGTTGGTGCCTTCCCTCCTGTGAAGGACCTGGGCTTGGGGCGTGCCCTGTCCACCATCCTTAGAGTAGACAGTCATTGGGGTGAGAAGGTCAGGTGGAGTGTTTCTCTGGGCAGCCCCGGTACTGAATACTCTCCTAGCCCATAGCCTGAGTTGGGGCCCCAGACTGTGGCAGACTTGGCAGGCAGGTGCCCTCCCCCCACAGGCAGCTCATGCACAGCAGTAACTTCAGCAGCAGTAATGGCAGCACTGAGGACCTGTTCCGTGACAGCATCGACTCCTGTGACAATGACATCACAGAGAAGGTGGGCCCTGGGGTGCTGTGCATGTCCCTGGGATGTGTGGGAGTGGGGCTCCAGGCTGCTTTCTGGGGACTTGGATCCTGTGCCCACCTAGGAGTTCAGGGTGAGAAAGGGCAGTGGTATAGGCCCTTTCCTCCCCAAATATGACTATTCTTTTAGCATAGTTATTTGGAGATCCTTGCCATGAGCTTTTCTGGAGTTTCAGTTCTGTGGCTTCAAGAGCCTTTACTAATATGTTACCCCACATGCGGCAGGTGAGCTTCCTGGAAAAAAAGGTAACGGAGCTGGAGAATGACAGCCTGACCAGCGGGGATCTGAAGAGCAAGCTGAAGCAGGAGAATATGCAGCTGGTGCACAGGTCAGGGCGCGGGGCTCTGGGGAAGGGGAAGTTGTCGCCACTGCCAGCAGAGAAGCCTCAGTCTTTCTGGCTCTGAGGCGCTTGGCCTTGATTCCAGACCCAATAGATCCTGTTCTGGGTGTACAGCCCAGAACTTGTGACTCTCACTGCTTAGAGCGGTAATTCTCAACCTGTAGGTCTCGACCCCTTTGGGGTCACATATCAGATATCCTGCACATCAGATACTTACATTATGATTCATAATAGTAGCAAAGTTACAGTTTTAAAGTAGCAACGAATTAGTTTTATAGTTGGGGGTCACCACAACATGAGGGACTGTATTAAAGGGTCTCAGCATTAGGAGGGTTGAGAACATGAGGACTGTATTAAAGGGTCTCGGCATTAGGAGGGTTGAGAACATGAGGACTGTATTAAAGGGTCTCGGCATTAGGAGGGTTGAGAACATGAGGACTGTATTAAAGGGTCTCGGCATTAGGAGGGTTGAGAACATGAGGACTGTATTAAAGGGTCTCGGCATTAGGAAGGTTGAGAACATGAGGGACTGTATTAAAGGGTCTCAGCATTAGGAGGGTTGAGAACAACTGGACCAGAGGGATTAGAACTTGACCTCCCTTCCTAGGAACAGGCCCTGTGGTGGGGAGTGGAAGGCAGGAGGGCCCAGGTGGTACTGCGTATGGTCAGGTGACAGTGTGGATGGACAACAGGGACACTGGGAAGGATGCTACCCCATGCTGGCTGGCTTCCCCAGGAGCAAGAAACTTGGTAGACTCCTCTGGGTCTGGGTCTGGTCCCCCATGGCATTCTTGTATGACCCAGCTCAGCCTGATGGAGCGACTGAACAGTTGGACAGATACAGGCTTCCAGTGGTCAGGGTTGGGTTATGACTCCGGAGGGGCCTGACCTTTTCCTTGCTCTGGATTTCTTAACGGCCATTTGCCAGGATGTGCCTAAGTCGTCGGAGGGGTGCTGGGCAGGAAGTCCCTAAAGAGAGAGTAAGGTCTAGAAGCCATTCTTGTACTGTGGCCGGGCCTGCTGCCTGTTGTCTCCTGGGTGGCCGGCCTCGCTGCTCTAAGGAGCTCCTTCACTAGATCTGCTTCTCCCTCGAGTATGGTTGACACACTTCTTGTCAGATGTCACAGTGTCCCTAAGTTACCCGTCAGCCAAGCTCACGGCCCATAGGCCTGGCAAACCCTCCGCGTCACCGCGGCTATGTGAGGGCCTTTGGCGGGGTCCAGGCCTTCTTGAGTGGGGTGAGGGTGCGCGAGAGCGTGGTGACGGGAGCTGTTTGTGCCCACCTCAGGGTGCATGAGCTGGAAGAGATGGTGAAGGATCAGGAGACCACGGCAGAGCAGGCACTGGAGGAGGAGGCCCGGCGGCATCGCGAGGTCTACTGCAAACTGGAGCGGGAGAAGAGCACTGAGCTGGAGCTGCTCAACACCAGGTAGGCCCCGGGCCTCCTGCCCACTGGGCCCTCCTGGCCCCTCGGCCCTGGCCGCCCTTGGGTAGTGCTGGCCCCAAGCGTTTTCGGTAAAGCTGAGCCTCCCATTCTAGCATTCTGCTAGATTCTGCTGCAGATGCTTTAGAATTGCACAGGCCTGTTGTTAGGGAGTGGGCAGGATGGATGGACGGTCCTGGAGCCCTGTCATGGAGCAGAGGAAGACGCAGAGGTGGAGCCGAAGGCAGGGGCTGATATCTAGGCCTGGAGCGCCCCCTGCTGTCAGATCCTCCCCTGCATTTGAACGTGGGTAAACTGAGCCTGGAAGCCCAGGCTTAGGGAAGTAGAAGACCAGGTCTTCTGGTTCTGCGGCCCGCTGTATCCTTCCATGCTGGAACCCAGGCAAGCCAGGAGCGGGAAGAGCACCACTGCCCCGGTCACATTGGCTTTTCCTGCTCTGCTGGTCCTGTCTACTGCCCCCCTCCCTGCCTGCCCCACAGCCCATACCACTGTGACGAGGCCGTGACCTGTCCTGGTTCTCCTTGGGCTCCAGGTATTTAAGCAGAAGGTTCTAAGCCCAACCTGGGTCAGGGAGGGGTGGCTGGACAAGGGCTGGGTCAGGCAGGCCCAACCCAGTGCAGTTTGGTGAGGAGACCTCCCAGCTCTCCTGTGCCTGAGACTCCCCACCCCTTCCCAAACAGAGTTTCCCATGCCAAATTTGGACTGGTATTTTAGAACAGTGGTCCTCAACCCTCCTTATGCTGTGACCCTTTACTACAGTTCCTCATGTTGTGGTGACCCCCACCCATAAAATTATTTCACTGCTACTTCATAACTGTCATTTTATGCTAATGTATGAATGGTAATATAAATATCTGATATGCGGGATATCCAATAAGCAAACCTCCAAAGGGGTCTAGACCCATAGGTTGAGGACCATGACTCTGGAGGCTGCTATTTGGCTCTGGGGCTGGTATCCTAAGGGCCGTCTCACTTCAGTATTCCTGCTTTAGTGACTGCAGGCTGAAGAGAGGTGGCTGGGACCGAGAGGCAGAGGCGGAAGGATCATAGAAAGAGTGGCAGTCATAAGAGCAGTCTCCCCTTCCCCCAGCTCCAGGGGTTCCTGCTCATGTGGAGTCATGGATGGTACTTCTGGTCATTGGCACAGATCCCCTCCTTAGTTGCTCACCAGCTCCATGCCACTTACCACAGAGGTCCAGACTCCTCTCTGGCCCTTGTCTAGAGGCCTCCTTCGGGTGTCCAGGGCCTCCTGAAGGTCAAGAAGAACCTCTCCAGAATGGGACAGTATCTGGGGTGGAAGTACTGGAAGAATCAGACCTGGTTCTGCACAGTTGCGGCCATCTGACCTGCCTGTGAAACTGCCTGAGTGCAGCCCCATGGGGGTCACTGCAGGACAGCCGTCTGCAGACACTCCAGGAGAGGATTGCTGCTTCTGAAGCAGAGAGGGCTGCAGTGAGCTCTCGGGATTCCCGACGGGCCTGGGGGTGGAGAAAAGAGAGCAAAACATGGTCATCGCCTTCAACTGCACGTTAACAGACGTCCGGGCATACCAGACATAGGAAGACTGCTCCACCACCTAGAGGAAACCCTTCCTCATTGTGTGTGTACATGCGAGTTCACATGTGTGCGTGTGTGGAGACCAGATTTCAGTAATTTTTAGATTTTGAAATACATATTCACTGGGCGGTGGTGGCACACGCCTTTAATTCCAGCACTCAGGAGGCAGAGGCAGGCAGATCTCTGTTGAGTTGGTCTGGTCTACAGAGCAAGTTCCCCCCAATTTTTTATATATATAAAATATGTAATTTTTTTCAGGCTGTAAGTTACTTTTTAAATTATGTATGTATATACGGTATGTGTGCATGGTCCTGTGTGCAGGGTGTATGCATGTGCCACACTGCAAACGTGGAGGTCACCTTTACTTTGTTTCAAACAGGATCTTTTACTGGTTTTGCCAGGCCAGCTAGACCTCCATCTTCTGGGGGTGCCCCTATCTCTGCAGCAGAACCCTGTGATTACAAAAACACACTGCTGTGTCTGGTTTTATGAGTTCTGAAGATTCGAATTCTTCTGTGGCAAGCACTACCTACTGAGCCATCTCCCCAGCCCTATAAGCTATTTTAGAAACCAAGGGGTGGGGTGATGTGATGGTGACGCACACCTTTAATCCCAGCACTGGGGAGGCAGAGGCAGGCGGATCTCTTGAGTTCAAAGTTATCTTGGTCTATAGAGCGAGTCCCAGAATAGCCAGGGCTACACAGAGAAACCCTGTCTCGGGAAAAAAAGAAAAGAAAAGAAAAAAGGAAGAAAGGAAATTTCATGTTTAGATAGGGTCCTATCTCTAAGATATATATACATGAATATGTTGTTTTGTTTTGGTTGGTTGGTTGGTTTTTTTGAGACAGGGTTTCTCTGTGTAGTTTTGGTGCCTGTCCTGGATCTCGCTCTGTAGAGTGCTAGGATTAAAGACATGAACCATCACTCTTGGCTAATAATTTTGCAAATGAAACAGTTCCCTGATAATAGGGATTTTGGCTTGTGGCATCATGTCATTGCTCAAAAAGGTTTGGATTTCGGAACAGTTTGGATTTTTGGATTAGGGATGCTGGGCCGGAATTGTCTTAATCTTTTTCTCGGTTGGTGGTTTCTCTCTTCCAGAAGCGGGGACTGGCTGCCTTCTCTGTAAGGTCATTTCCACTCTAGATCCTCAGACCTGCCGTTTTTCTTTCCCAGGGTGCAACAGTTAGAAGAAGAAAATACGGATCTGAGGACCACAGTGACTCGACTTAAGTCACAGACAGAGAAACTGGATGAGGTGAGCAGCAGGTCCCAGCAAGGTGTTGAGTCCGTAGAGAGGTGATGGCGGTCAGAGGCCTTCCGATCGTCGTCTCCGGGATGCTGAAGTATTTCCCTACAGAGAAATCAGAAGTGCCAGGGTATGGTGACACACACCTGCCATCCTGGCACTCAGGCGGTGGGGGCAAGAGCATCAGTTCAGGGTCATCCTTTGCTACATCATGAACTTTGAGGCTAACCTGGGGTACATGAGAGTTTTGTCTTAAAGATAAAAATAAAAGTTTTAATTAATTAAAAAAGGAGGAAAAGTGAACAATAAATTTTATTTCTGAATTTACAGAATTTTCAAGTTTTCTACAGTGAAAATATAATCTGTATTATATATTGTAAATACTTTACATTGTGGAATTTTTTTCTTGAAGAGGGTGTTTGGGCTAACAGCTTCTTCTCGGGTTCTGCCTGACACCACTGAAGGACATCTGGGGCCCAGGGCATTTCCTGCTGTTTCTAGAATGTTCTGGGAGGGCACTCCCCAAGGTGGTGGCTTTGCCTGTCCATTTGCCACACCAAGGTCCTCCAGAGCTTGAGGACCCTCTGGGCACGCTTGCCCTGATGAGGTCTGCCTGACTCTAGGAACGGCAGCGCATGTCTGACCGTCTGGAGGACACCAGCCTGCGACTCAAGGATGAGATGGACCTTTACAAGCGCATGATGGACAAGCTGCGGCAGAACCGCCTGGAGTTCCAGAAGGAGCGGGAGGCGACGCAGGAGGTGAGTCACGGGCCAGGACCCCCAGGGCTTCCCTCTGTGACCTTGCTGCTGCCAACAGGCTCCTTCTCTCCCTCACAGCTCATCGAGGACCTGCGGAGGGAGCTGGAACACCTGCAGATGTACAAGCTGGACTGTGAGCGGCCAGGTAGGGGCCGCAGCTCATCTGGCCTTGGCGAGTTCAACGCCAGAGCCCGAGAGGTGGAACTTGAGCATGAGGTCAAGCGTCTGAAGCAGGTAGGCTCTAGAGCTACTGTCCAGTGGCTTTGAAGAGGTGGCTGGGTCAGCCATGTGGGCCTCTGTTTAGAAGTCATAGGGAGGGACACAGAGTGACCCAGTCTAAGAAGGGCAAGGATTCCCTGTGCGCCCAAGGAAAGCGGCACTATGATCGGAAGCAGAGTCCTGGGCTCATGGGTCTCTGTCCTGTCCTAGGTGAGGATGGAGTGAGGAAGCCATCTCCACCCTGCAGATGCAGGCTTGGTTGGGTTGGGGCCTCTGGCATATAGGGCCTAAGTCCTGAGACTCTGTTTCTCACAGTGTCCCATCACTCTGTCGTGGCAGCCTGGGTTAAGCATGGCATCAGGAAGGGCAGTGACTCCAGAAGGGAGTGAAACCCAAAGTCAGGCAGGCCTATGGGCCCGACTCTGGGCATGGGTCTCACCTGAGCTCATTTACCCATGGCCATCTCCTGCGGTACAGCGAACCCATCATCCACCCAGGAGAGGCTCCCAGGTCCCTGGGGTGAGCAATAAGCAAGAATTGAGGGGGCACCTGTGTCCGCTGCCTTCCGCATCAGCTGCCTTCAGGGGCAAGCGTGTCTTGAAACAGCTCCCACTAAGCAGGTTCCAGAACCTGGCTATAGGAGGAGCAAGGAAAACCAGCCCTCCTTCCTGCGCAGAGAATCCAGAATAGCACTTGCCTCAGCCAGATCCAGGACGGTCAGCTGAGCTGCCTGGTGGGCAGTTGCTCCCCGCAGGACCCAAGAGGGGAAAGACGCCCTGGTTCTCCCAAACAGGGCTGCAATTCCCCCTTCTAACTGAGGACTGTGTCACCTGTCGGCCTCCCTGTCTAGCAGTGATGCACTGAGGGAGCATGCTGGTGGTCTGAGGACACAGGTAGGGAGAGGTGGGTCCCAGCGGGCTCAGTGCTTCCCTTAGCTCAGGTTGCCTTTGATCTGCTGCCACAGGAGAATCACAAGCTGCGGGATCAGAACGACGACTTGAACGGGCAGATCCTGAGCCTCAGCCTCTACGAGGCGAAGAACCTCTTTGCCACCCAGACCAAAGCCCAGTCTCTGGCTGCAGAAATCGACACAGCATCTCGCGATGAGGTAGCCTTGTCCCTTCATCCTCTCTGGCTCATTCTCACATTGGTGACTGGTCCCCATTCTGTGGCTCCTGTCCCAGCCCCCCCCCCCACCATGAACCCCAGGCTACACAGGCTCTCTAAGGCAGGCGAAGGCCTGGCCCTCATACTCCTGCACTTACTGCTGTCACAATAACCGCAGAGCTGAGCAGGAGGCAGCACAGGGCGGAGCTTAGCCCTCTTTCCTCGGGAGCCCTGGCTCAGAGTGGAGCTCAAATCAGAGATCCTCCTGGGACTTAACCCGGATGGTGGCCAGAGTGTCTTTTGCACATATGTGTACTTGGTCTCTTAGCTCACAGCTTCATAAACACTTCCCTGTCACATGTAGAAATAACCACACAGCTAGTGGTGGGAAAGGAGCCCGGCTCCCCAGCACTATAGGCCATCTTTTCTACCTCAAGAACAAAAACACTCAGCTTCATTGTAAAGTGAAACTGAGACCCTGTGTACCTGAATCTTGCCTCCACCTCAGACTCAGAGCTAAGGGCTGACCTCTGGCCTCAAGTAGATCTAGGGGAGCAGGTAACTCCGAAGAGTTAGAGCTGCACCTAAATGTCATGGTGAGAGCCGCTGAATAAGGCAGGGCTGGAATGAGGAGAACACTGTTCTGGACAGAGGAAAGGCTGGCGGCCCCAGGCATCTTCTGGGCCCAGGGACTATACATACTAGCCCTGATTATAAGTACATCTGGCCAGTGTTCCCAATCTTTGTGAAAATTTCCCCAGGCTTTTAGCCCCTCCCCAGTTCAGTGAAATTACCTTCAGACTGATCTGGGGTCCCTCTATCATTGGTCACTGGCCCCCTGGAAGCCTACCCTGGGCCCAACCCCCTGACCCACCTTTCTCATTCCCTTCAGCTAATGGAAGCCCTGAAGGAGCAGGAGGAGATCAACTTCCGACTGAGACAGTACATGGACAAGATTATCCTGGCTATACTGGACCACAACCCCTCCATCCTAGAGATCAAACACTGAGCCAGGGTTGGCTGCAGAGCGGCCATTGGACCTGGGACCTAGGGACGGGCCTGCCGGAGGAGGAAGATGCAGGCGGGACCCCACACTGTCTCTGTAAATGTGCTTCCAGCCACCCTGTGTGTGTGTGCTAGGGTGTGTGCGGGAGACCGCACACACAGGCAAGGAGTGAGCTGGGGGCCATGGCTGTGGGTGACAACCCGTGATAATCTGTGTGTGCACTTTGCAGCCCCTTTGTGAGGGGCTGAGGGGAACTGGATGTGGGAGGAACACTCTCAGGAGTTGACAGCAAGGACTGGAAGCTTTCATTTAGGATACTGATGAAATGATTCTACCTCTGTGGATAAGGGTTAGAAGAAGCTCTCAGGAGATGGGCCCCCCACCCACCTCAGAGTAGGGACAAAACTGTTACGTTCTCCATAATTTGGTGTCCTTTCAAACCCAGGTTTTTTAAGCTCAAAGAGGAGGAAGGGGTGTTGGGAGGAACAGGGACCCCTGTGGCTAGCCTTTGGGGCGCAAGTAGACGAAGTCCAGTGGACTCGGGTTTGGAGAGCAGCTACGTGCGTTGTCCATTGTCCATGCCTCTGGGTTGAGTCCTCTGAGTTTTCTGTGCCCTTCCAACCTTGGTTTCCTACCTCCCCTTTCTGGTTTGCCTTCCGTTCGTTTTGAAGACAGGAAATACACACAGCATTCACTTGGGGGTGGGAGAAAGGCCAAGAAGAAGGGTGGAGTGCCCAAGACAGGTGTTAACACTGGGGGCCAAAGGAGTGATTGCCTGGAAGAGACGTGTTCCCAGGGCTGCATCTTAAGTCAGATGTGCCTTGGTGAGGGCAAGCCTAGGGAGGTGTTTCTAAGGCCGAGTCTGGACTCCTATGGGGAGGTAGCCACACCGCTTCTTACAGCTTTCAGACACACCTGGATGTGGTCCCTCTGTTAGAGAGCAGACATCCTGGTGGGAGGTCCAGGGGGGAAGGAACACTGTGGAAGAACCTTGGTCTTCCGTTCTGTGACTACATGGTGGGAGTCCCCCTTTCCTCCCCTGGCTTTGTTAAGAATGTAATCTTTGTTCTAGGCATCTGGGCTGTTCCTGGACTGTTGCAGTTTATCTGAGTTTTATATGGTTCGTGATTGGCTTCCTTATCTCCAGCCCAGATAAACATGGATGGTCTTAAGTCTTCCCTTCCGCTTGCTTTCTTAAGCACATCTTGTGTAAGAAGGAAGGTTTGGGCACGTTGGGGAGGCTAGTGAGCAGAAAGGGGGGGGCAGTTGAGGGTAAAGGGGAGGGGACTGGAGGATGTCCCCTGCTTGGCAGAGACGGGGCTGTGGCCAGTTTGATTTCAGTCCGCTCACGTCTGCTTTCCTTGGCTTTTCAGATCCATTTTAATAACGTGCACAGAGTTATCTGGTGCTGCGTAGATGGTGGGTGGTTTGCCTTGCCCTGGGCTGCCTGGATGAGCCACATCAGGAAGACGGGAAGGCTTGATCTTGAGGCACAGGTCTCTGTGGGCATTCCCTGGGGTCTGGGAAGATAGGGAATAGAGAAAGGCTAGGTAGGAAGTCTCTTGAGGACGTGAAGGGAAAATAAACTTGAGGTTGGTCTAGGTGTCATGCTGGAAGGAGCGTGGCAGAGGCCAGGTGAATCTCGGTCCTGGTCTGTAGGGGCTGCCTCAGGGATGAGTGTTCTGTACTTGAACTTGCATGGGCCTCCAGCGTCACGGTGTGTAAGTTTCTAGAGAAGGCCACAGAGGCCAGAGTCACAGCATAACACGAGGAAAGGAAGGCTTTTGGCCAACGTTGTTGGGCTGCAAGAATGGACTTCTGGAGGAAATGGCAAGTCTGGAAGCCCCTGTGGACCTGGACCCTCGCTGTAGGCCTCTGGAAGAGTAACCTCCGAGTGTGGGGCTGGCTTCCATACAACACACACCTCAGGCTCATCCAGCCTTCTTACTTTCCTCAGCCAGAATACACTTAGAAAACTTGGTCAACTTGGCCTGAGATCATGTTGTTGTTTATTGTAGTGGTGGCAGTAGGTTTTTGTTTTCTTTTTTGAGACAGGGTCTTACACTGTAGCTCTGGCTGCCCTGGAATTCAAGGTAATCCTCCTGCCTTAGCCTTCAGAGTGCTGGGATTACAGACATGACTCACCACACCCATTTCATTTTTAAAATGTTCTGGGCTTAAAAGCCCAGGGTTCCCAGCGCCACCTCACTCATGGCAGGTTGCAGAACTTCCCTCTGTTTCTGCTGCCTCCCTGGCTCGCTTTTCCATCTGTGAGCTCTCCCGTGACTTCGTGGGTCTAGAGTTGGCATTCGGTTGGGTCTGAATTTCAGATGAACAAGTGGTTTTAACTTTTAGAATCACAATGTTTCATGCTGTTCTTGATGCTTCGGGAGCTTTTTAATATTCTGATCCTTACGTGTTCTAACAGTTGGTACAGGTGTGGCCCGGGCCTTGGAATGTTTTAAGAATGCCCCAGGTGATAACTAATGTAGCTAAGTGTCCTGTGAAGGGGTGTTAGTTTTGCCAAACTGGACAGCTCCCTCGGGGAAGGGTCAGCAGTAACTTGCCAAGATCCCAGCAGGTTGGGGGCCATGCAGGGGATGCACTTTTTATGTGATGCTATACCGTCCTTGCATTCCATTAGAAGTCAAACAGAATGCGCTAATGTCTTTCTGTGTCTGATTCCTTTTAGCGTTGACTCAGCTAGATCTGATTTTAAACTGGTAGCTTTCCTTGAGATTCTACAGAGGAAATTGCCCCCCCCCCCCCCCCAAGACAGGGTTTCTCTGTGTAGCTTTGGAGCCTGTCCTGGAACTCACTCTGTAGCCCAGGCTGGCCTCGAACTCACAGAGACCTACCTGCCTCTGCCTCCCGAGTGCTGGGATTAAAGGTGTATGCCACCACCACCCGGCAGGAAATTGCTTTTTAAAATTTTATTTCTGACACACTAAAAACACAAAGCTCAAGAACCAAGCAGAACACCAGGGCTTGAGACTGGTTTGAGACAAACTGGTTTGCCAGTTTGTCTGTGTGCTGGTGTCACGGGAGGAGGTTCTGAAAACACATACGATGGCAGGTGTGGAAATGTAGCACAGTGGTCGGGTGCTGAGTGTGAGGTTTAGTCCCCGGCAGCATGAAAAGAGGTTGAAGATCAGACCGTCTCTGAGGTCCTGTTTAACTGGTGGCGGGGGTGGCCCAGCACATTCGTCTGCATTTGTCTTCCCCCACACTGGTCATGCACAGCTCAAGGTGGAGGCTCCTGACCTTAGAAGGTCGTCGGCTCAAGTAGAGAAACCACATGAAATGTCCTCGAGCTCAAGCAGGGCTGGAAAAGCTTGCCTTTGACTGAGGTGACAGAGATGGTTGGCTTTTGGTAATTATGCCCCTGAGTGGTCCTTGCCCCAGGAGAGTCCCGCTGCCCTCACTAGCCTGGAAGTCTGTGTCCCTTAGTGGCTCCCTGCCTGGGACCCCTGGAGTCACAGAAACAAGTGCCGGCTTATCCTGGGTATCAGCGGTTCTTTGCAAAGTGGGGCAGATGGTTGAGAGCTGGGCCTTGAGGGCAGCTTCAGGTGCTGTGGTCACTGGCCTTTGTGGGTTTTGACTGACTGCAGTGTGCGGGTCCCAGGGGCTTCCCGGTCAGTGTTACATCAGCACCCAGTTGACACCATGGAGACTCTAGGTGATGGTCCCATGGCTAGTCTGAGTTGTGACCCATCCTGGTTTTGATGGTCCAGGGGGTGTCGTACACATTTGGCTCTGAGGGAATGTGGAGGCTCCACTACAAGGCCTGAGGAGGCAGGAGGAATTACTCTTCTGTGAGGCATTGGCAGGTGTACACCTGTCTCTAGACATGACTGATGGGACCTGGGAAGGGTTGAGGGTAGTCAGCAGGCCAGCCTGACAGATGCCCAGTGACTAAGTCCAGGTGAAGCTCTTTAGGGCTTCAACACTGCCCCTTCTCCCCAATCTTGCCTCCTACCCCCAACCCCTACTGGGGCCCAAGGACATGCCTCTTGGTGGCTCCTCAGCTTGGTATCACTAACGTTCTCTCACCAAGGGGCCGTGGGTTAGAGTGGCCAAACCTTCCCAGGACCTCCCTGTCCTGACTTCCATCTGGAATGTGCATGTGATGGGTGTGTCGGGAAAGTGGAGTTGTCATCACGGCCTGCCTTACCTTCAGGGCGGGACAGCTCTGTGTCTCTGCCATCTTTTAGCTGCTCAGCTAAGAAAATAGGCACTTCTAGAAGGCTTTGTTTCTGAAAGCATAGCAAGGTGACAGTCCTTGTCACCCTATCCACCAGGAGCTGGGTATCTTCGATGTACCTTCCTTGTGGGCTGCTCTTCCCGTTGACTGTAATGTAGGGATGTCTACCCTAGGGCTACCAGCTGGGGGCAGCATCGCAGGCCCCCTCTCCTGCAGGCCTGAGTTCTGCTGGCTCTGCCTCTTGTTGGGACTGTCTGCTTCCCTGTTCTGCACAGGCTGGTTTTTGTCTGCATGGTTTGGGGTCCTTGTGCCTTTTTTTCCCTTGTGGCCACCACACAGGATTCTCTGTTGCCCACTGCCCCCTTTTGTACACCCCCTTACCGGTCTTCCCCAGTCCTGTGTGTACTCATGTGTGCGACCATGTGCCTCCCCTGAGGCTAGCTGGCAGACCCTCTACCCCCACCCCCAGTCAGGCCCCGCTTCCCCATAGGTCCCCCAGCCTCTGTTGACTTGGTAACTTTTATACAGGATCTTTTGTTACAGTCTTAAGCATAGGAACCACGTAGTCACCGTGTACCTGCAGCTAGTTTAGAAGCCCTGCGTCCCAGACAAGGGTAGCTTTGTGTAGACCGGCTTCTCCCACAAACCTCTTCTGTGTGGATGTGGATGTTTATAGAAGACAGATCACCTTTAACCTGAGGCCCTGGCCCCAGCAGGGAGGTTGCAGGTCTGCAAGGCTCCATGCATGGCTCTTCTGGAGGAAGCCCCAGCCATGTGGTTTCCAGTGCTTGGCAATACATTTGGGTTTAGGGCCACTGTGTCTGGTGTCTCCCCCCATGTGTGCTGAAGGAAGTCATTTGCTACTGTCCCTGCCTGCTATTACCACCTGTCCAGCCCTTCCTTGTCTGCTGGTGCTCAGGCCCGAGTGCCATTAATCACCAGACTGATGTCAGGACCTGGACGGGACAGCGTGTGCTGAGAACACACAGCCTGCTGACTCCTGGTTTCAGCTTTTCATGCTCTGGGGCTGGGCCTTCTGGGGACCAGGTGAAAGAAGCCACAGGCCATAGGTTCTGATTCTCCAGGGATTACATCTGGGGCTCTGCCCCAGAAGCCAGTAATTGCGAATGGCCTAGCTTTGGGGCTGGAAAGGCCCCGGGGGGGGGAAGGGGTGAGTCCTAGGCCCTGAACTGTTTGCCTCCAGCCTGTTCTCTCCTGAAACAGGCTTTCAGTGCGGACACCTTCCAAGACCTGTAATGTACAGACCACAGTGTAAATAAACAGTTGGCTTTTGTGTTCCTGACTTGTGTGAACTTCTGTGGGGGAATAGGGAATGGGAAAGAGGGGATGGAGGAGGTGGAGGGAGAAAGGCAGGCTTGTGTCCTGGCTTCGGGGTGACATTTCCCTTAGGAAAAACAATCTCTTTAGGTATGCAGTAACTGAGGTGGCTAGTGCTGCCCCCTAGAGGAAGAGTAAGGCAGGGCCAGTCAGTCCTGGCCTGCTTTGCCTAGAGATGGGGCTCCCAGAAGCTCCCGTGTTCCCTCATTCCAGCCTCAGGACTGTGATTGAAAACTGTCCTCTTGCAGCAGTGTTCTTTCTCAGCAAGGGCCTTCCAGGGCTCAAGGGGTCCCTGGGTCGTGTTCCTCCCATGTCAGCCACTGTGACCGGGCTCAGGACCCCCACTTAAACTCCTTTCACTTGCCTAAGATGAATTCTGCTGTGCCATGGATCACCATGGCAGCTTAGGATTGTGTGCTCCGGGACCCAAGGTTCCTACCTTTTTTTCTATATGTGTTTTGAAATTCCAGGATGAAAGGGTGTCACTGGTCACCCAGGCCAGGTATCTTGGCCCATATACCCCCCCATGCAGGCCCTGTGCAGGCAGGTGCTCTGAAATGGACAGGCAGCTCTGCACTGGACAGGTGGACCTGCCTCCTGGGCCCATAGAACCACTGTGCAGACTTGGAAGTTCTGCATTATTCCCTCAGTGTAGTCTTGTCTTACTACCTGGAGCCTCTGGACAGACAAAGATACAGGATAACCCCAAAAAGTTTACTTGAATAAACTTGAGCTCAGATAATCCAGCGAGCCTATCGGAATTATATTACATCTGCATGGACCCAAATAAGGCCATACTCAGTTCACAGGTACATTGTCTCTGAAAGTTGCCCCCACTGAAGGAGTCATCACCTCTGCTTCAGTGCTAGAAGGCGTGGGAGGAAGCTCAGCAGATGGAGATGGACCCACCCGTGGCTCACCAGCGCCTTCCACGTGGCTGGTCTGGCAGCCTGATCCTGGCCCTGGAGCATGAGGAGTTTGCTGCCTCTGGACCTCCACTCAGGTGATCCCAGCATCTTCACTGCTGGATGGAAAATAATGTCAGGATAAGTCCGTGTGACAGAGCTGGGTTTATTAAGTAGAGATGGCAATCAGAGGTCTTAACATGCTTGAGACAGCCTGGACATTCAGAGGAAAGGGAAGGGAATGGGTCTCTGGGGCTTAACAGTAGCTGTGTGGCTTTTGAAGTCACAGTGCTCAGAATGTCATTTACAAAGTAGGTTCCGTGTAGGCTGGGCGTGGTGGCACGTCTTTAGTCTTAGCCATTGGGAGACGGAGGCAGGTGGATGGATCTCTATGAATTCACAGGCAGCATGGTCTACATATAGACTCTCAAACTAACACAGTTTTTGTTTTGGACCAGGCTGGCCTCTGGCTTGATAGTGCTGGGATTAAAGGTGTGTGCCACCACATCCAACTTCAAACAAAAAGTTACTTAAAGAAAGTAAAAATATACAAACTGGTTTACTGGTTTCTCATCTTCAGAATTCTGTTTGCAAATAGTGCAGTGGTTTCTGGAGCACATTGCTCAGGTTTAAGGAGAGGGGCATGTTGATAATGTCCACAGACACACAGGCAAGCTAGGAGACCCATCTGTAGATCATCTCAGAGAAGGGACTTCTCTGCCTCAATTTCTTCTGTCAATTGTGGTTTTTATTTTATTTTTTTCCATGCAGACAATAAAAACTACAAACTAGATTTGGGGATAAGGGACCCCTTTCCCTCTCATGTCCCCTTACTATTCCATCTTTCAGTTGTGCCTCAAGTCCAGCTTGCTGCTCAGCCCTTTCCAGAGCATGGCACTGGGAGGGTGGGGGTGCGAGGGTGGTGGGAGGCATCATGCTGCTTTGACCTAGTCCCATACCTACATTGTAAGGCTCCAGTGGAGTTCATAACATCCTCTCCTGGGTTCCAGGGCCCCCAGCAGACACCCAAGCCCCTCATAGGAAATGGTGGAGTACCACATGTAACCCAGGTGCTAAAGTCCCTCATAGGAAATGGTGGAGTACCACATGTAACCCAGCATGGCCTCCCAAACATTTAACGTCTCCTGGATTACTTTCCTTTACAGTTTCTTACATTTATTTGGGGAGGGTATGTCATGGTGAGTGTAAAAGTCAGATAAGAACTTGTTTAAGTTGGAGCCCTCCACCGTGTGGGGCCTGGGAGTCAAACTCAGGTTGCCAGGCTTACTGGCAAGTGCCTCTACCAGCTTGAGATTTCTCGTCGGCCCTAGATTACTTTTTAGAGATTTATTTATGTGTGTGGGTGTTTGGCCTGCCTGTATGTTTGCGCACCTTATGTGTGTCTGGATGGCTGTGAGCCACCAAGTCGGTGCTGGGAGCCAAACCTGGGTCCTCTGCAGGAAGAGCAAGTACTCTCAACTGCTGAGCCACCTCCAGCCCCAGATCACTTTTAGTAATACAAAGAAATACTGTATAAATGGTGTTATGGTTAGGGGATGATGACAAGGAAGAGCCTATATATGTTCTGTACAGATGTAGGGGTTTTGTTTTGTTGAGATAGGGTCTCGCTGCATAGCCCTGGCTGGCCTGGAGATTGATATGTCAATCAGCTTGCTCTCAACCTGCAGAGATCCTTCTAAGTGCTGGGATTATAGACCGCACTTGGTCTCAGTTAAAGGCTACATACGTGTGTGTGTGTGTGTGTGTGTGTGTGTGTGTGTGTGTGTGCACGCGCGTGTATAAAATTTGCTATTAGGTTGGAGAGATGGTTCAGCAGTTAAGAACACTGGCTGCTCTTAGAGTACCTGGGTTCAATTCCCAGAATCCATATCAGACAGCTCACAGGACATTGTCTCTTTCATGCCCATATATATACATGTAATTAAAAATAAAACACACACATATATACATGTAATTAAAAATAAAATCTTAAAAAATATTATTCATGTGCCTTCCCGAGCCCAGGAAAGGGTGTCAAATCCCCTGGAACAAATGCTTGTGGGTGCTGGGAACTGAACTCAGGCCCTCTGCAAGAGCAGTACGTGCTCTTAACCACTGAGCCATCTCTTTAGCCCTGCCACCCCAGATTTTTTTTTGTAAATATTTCCAGGTCAACAAGGCGGCTCATTGGGTAAAGCACCTGCCACACAAGCCTGACGACTGAGTTCTGTCCCTGGAACCCATGTCCATGGAAGAACTGACTGAACAGTTGTTCTAACCTGTACACATGTGCTGTTGCCCACACATACCCATAGTAAAGTTTTCAAAGGAGATTTATGTGTATGAGTGTTTTTGCCTATGTGTATATATATATAAATATATATATATATACCACATGCATGCCAGGAGCCTGCAGAGGGAAGAAGCGGGTGTTGGGTCCCCTGGAACTAGAGATACGGATGGTTGTGAGCCACCATGTGGGTGCTAAGAATCAAACCCAGGTCCTCTGGAAGAAACTGCCAGTGCTCTAACCATGGAGCCATCTCTCCAGCCCTGTGATATGTTTTCAGTCCATGGTTTGCTTTATCTACAGCACAGACCTCACACAAGCTGGGTACAGAGAGAGGGGCTCACTGCGGGCCGGGTAGGGTTGAAGTGCTTTTAGAAGGTTGGCTCACCACCAGATGACACCGAACCATTCCAGGGACCCAGCTTGCCACAGTCACCCAGAATTCAGGCTCTGCTGATAAGGAGAATCATCACAGCGGGACTTGACTTGTTGTGAGGGGAGGGACTGCTGTCCTGGAGAGGCCTTAAGAAGGTAGAGCACATGTGAAGCCCTAAAGTTGGGGCACCCCTCCCTAACAGGGCTGTACAGAGGGTGTGGCAGGAGGGGCCGGCACCTAGGAGCGACAGTGAGGAGTTGGCACACTGTACCTGGGGTTCAGGGAGAACAGGTCTGGGAAGGATGGTGGGCCCACTGCAACCTGGCCTGGTTGTCTGGGTGTGTGGAGGGGGTCAGCAGTTGGCCAAGTTTGACCAGCATTTGGCCTGTGCTGCCTGGCAGTGGGGTGCAGGATTTCTCCTGTCCTTCACCCTGCTCAGCTCTGGTTCTTGTTCCGAGTTCCAGGTTTATAAGTTGACTTTGGTGTTGCAGATTTTGACTTGGGAACTATGACACTACAAACATGATTCTTGTGTTTAATTGTTTTTTTTTTTTCTTTCTATTTTTTTGAAGCCTGGCATCGTGGTACATGACTTTAATCCCAGCACCGGGAGGTAGAGGCAGGCCAACTCTGTGAGTTCAAGGCCAGCAGTCTACAAAGTGAGTTTGAGGCCAAACAAAGCTACACAGAGAGTCCTTGTCTCAACCCTCCTCCAATAATACAAATTTTAAAGTATTGGAGGTTAATTCCTTGGTGTGTTTGTATAGGATGTGTACATGTGTGTTCTTATGTGTGGATGGTGCAGGCAGGCACAGGCACATGCTTGCCAGGCTTTCCCCAGACTCCCCCTCAGAAGCTGCACCTTTCCCTAAAGGAACCCACCTGAGTACAACTGGTCCCTGATGCCAAGCAAGCTGAACTCATACTGTCCAGAAGCTCCATGGGCAGTCCTCACTGCCACTGCAGGGTCACATTCAGGGAAGGACTCCCAGAGCCTGTAGCAGCTGTGGTGACACTCGCAGAGGATTCTGCCTTCTCCGGGTCTCCTGAGGAGGTCCAGTTGAATCTCTTGATTATGAGTCTCCTGAGAGCCCTTCTTTCCCCTTTAAGTATGTTGATCAGTACCTACCACAGGAATGGTGGTATACATCTGTGATCCCGGCATTGGGGATGCTGAAGCAAGCAGGAGAATCGCAAGTTCGAGGCTTCCTGAGACCCTTCCTAACTTCTTCCCTCCTTCCTTTCTTCCTTCCTCCCTACCCTCTTTCTTAAAAAGGCAGTGGAAGAGAACGAATACCATACCATTAAGTAGAAAAGTCAGGGAGAGAATAAACTATGCTAACCATAGTGTGAAAAGCAATCTAAGAAGTCTGAAAGTGTGGCTACCAACTCTC